AAACCATGTAGTGTCCCCTTGTTCTGTTCGAACGACAGCCTCCTGGTCAAGGTACAGATTCCTCATGAGTACAATCAAGTGCTCGGGAATTCCTATTACTATTTATAGTAGTGTATTAGTAAAGGCTAGCTTCCTCTAGAGCCCCAAAAGATTGGAATAATGTGACAAATCTCTTTGCCATGGGTTAAATTTCATGAAAGTAGCAGACACATTTCAGCCCATCCTTTTCTCTCAGGTCCTAAATCTACCTAATGTTGTTGTTATGTGCTGTCAAGTTGGACCTGACTCATAGTGACCCCTCCTTGGGTTTCCAAGGCAGTATAGTATCACTACGGAAGTAGACTGCCCAACCTTCCGAGGAGTAGCTGGTGGGTTTGAACTGCCAGCCTTTTGGTTAGCCGTCAAGTGCCTTAGGCACTACACTACCAGACTCCTAATCACATTAATTATCAATAACTCATTCTTGGGAAGGTAGGATTGACCAGGATTTTCTCTCCTACTTAACATACAAGATTGGATGGGGAAAAGTTTTTCGAACTGAGAACATCCCTAATATTTGTTTAGCCTGATAACATGTCTTCCCTGTTTATTCAGTTGTATCTTTGAATAACTGTCTTGACTTCTCATGCTTTCAGTGCTTACTACTGAAATGTTTATATGGTTAAAATTTAATATTCTCTTGATCACAAAAACTATTAATTTATTATCAATAAGAACTGCTTTTCTTTATATTTAAATAGAAATTAGAAGAGTATAAACCACTGAATTTTGCTGCTTGATGGTCTTTAAAATAAAGGGGGTATTTTTCCTAAAGTGCAGCAGCATACATTTGGGTAACAAATATTAAGTCATAATAATCCTCAGTGTTCATGTCAAGACTACAAACCAAAGGTCAAATTTCTGAAGAAAAAGGTTATATTAAATTCTACTTCTTTTAGATGTCAAGTGTTTTTCTCCTACTCAAATAATAAGTGCAAATTAATACTCATACCTGAATTTTAATTAAATTCTTTATTTCTTCATGAAGTTTGTCATGTTCCTTTTCAATTGAATCCCAAACAATCAGGGCTGATTCCAAGGGTGTAATTCGTTCATCACTTTCAAACTGTGCATCTTAAAAAAAGAACAAAACAAATAGGAAGTTAAGTAGAACCTTACTTTTGTCAAGTTTTTAAGAAAGGTATTCCTTTAAATATTCATTAAATGTATACTCTATGTCAGACACCATTTAGTACAAACCAGTTTAAGGAAATGATTTGATTTTCTAAGTTAATGTCCTCATTAATTTTAAAAACAGAACAAGGTAGTTGATAGTATAAAATAGTGGGAGCTCTTTTTTTACTCAACTATTGATTTTTAAGGACTGAAATCTCAAATTTTAACTATTTAATATAAAGTGTCATAGTAATAGAAATCTTAAATAGTTTGTAAGCCTAACTGCCTTGTAACAAACCTAGACAGAGCACAACTAGTGCGTTTATATCGAAATATGATTTTTTGCATCTACTGTTTGAAATCTTTATCTATTTTGTGCACAATTAAGACAGGGTCTTTCAAGAAATTATTTCTCTGCCAACGTTCTTTCAATAACCAACATT